GAACGCTTCTCTGATCCTTTGCAGTTTCTCCTCAATCCTTCTTGCAAACCCCGGAGGCATGAGACTTCGTGGCCTTGACGATGAGCGACAGCATTCCAAGCTGTGGACCGTGCAACTTTTGGAACATGTCCTGCCGAGCAGTGAGCACGGAGTGATGGCACAACCGTGCTTCCATCACATGCACAGCCAACCTTGTACTTGGAACGCAGCCGGAGCGCTGTGGTCATGTCCACTTCCTGTCCACCGCACACTTCCAAGCCCTGGCAAAAGAAAAGAGTTCAGCCTGGAAGGTGGAAAGCAGTGCCGCAGTGTTCTGAGTCTCCTTGGCCATGTGAATCTGTGCGAGCGTCTGCAGGTGTCTGCTGCGCTTGTCACGCGTCCGTCGCTCGGTTTCCCACTTTCAGCCGCTTCATGACACGTTGCCGGACGAAAGACACTGGTACCCGTCTCTCAGTGCAACCCTGGCACAAGCGCCACAGGATCAAGCTCAGGGGCGACAAAGGCTACTGCGCCTCCCCGACAGAGACCACCGCTGGCGCAACTCCGACTGAGGCCGGAGGCGCCTCAGCCGGCGCCGCCTGGGCTGGTTATATCGGGCACAGATGCCAGGGAGCTCCTGCTATGAGCTGCGGGCTTCCACACCCAGCCGCCCAGCCGCCAAGCGAGCAAACGTGGCCCGGAGACCTGCTGGCAAGAGGCGAGTCGAGGCCAGGCATCGCCACTCCCCAAAGTCTTTCGTGCGAACCCTGGCAGGCTCCAGTGTGGCGAATGCCTTTTTTCAGGGGGCTGGTGCGAGGTTCGTTGTGGCTCATTTCCCCGAAGGGCAAAGCAGCGCAGGACAGGGCTTCAATGCTCGGGAGGCAGTGCCGAAGATTGACTCCATCAAACACCCCATTTTCGCGAGCTATGTGTCCAATTATCTCTCCACATCGACCATGGGCTGCACAATGTACACCCCTAAATTTTGCAGTTGCATCATTGTAAGTCGACAACCCATACAACTAAGTGCTGCACCGGATGCAGAACGCCGTGCCTGCCACTCACCACGGCTCGATGCGACAGACAGAACTCTTCAGCCTCGAGCCTCTCGAGCATGCCATGGAAGGGCAGCCTGCAAACAGAAACAGCTGGTGAAGCTGCTTGTCGAAGCCACCGAAAAGACACATAGTGTTTCGGAGGATTATGTACCATACGATGGGAAACGTTTGATGGAAGAAACTCCAACATTCAGCACTTGTAGAATCGTAGAAGAAGCCATCAGTCGTGGACCTTTAAAGTGGCCCTTTCAATACTCTTGGAGCCACTTCTAACATGTCCTGATATGCTGAGCCGACGACACGTCGCAAGTGCACCATCACATCTCGCGTTCTGTGCGACATGGTCGAGCCTGGAGATCCAACACTGCCCAAAATGAACAGTGCAGAATCCAAAGCATTGCACGGCGCTTCCTTCTCGACTCCCCTTCGTCCTCCAAGCTCAAACTCTTGAGCCGACTGGAGAAGACGGGACGCAAAGCACTCACACAAGGCTTCCTTTCCATTCGGTGTGCGGGCAACAGGACTGTCAACATACGCAGCTTGAGAATCAACAAAGCCAAAGCTTGCAATCCCCAGAACGAGTAAAGACACATCATCCAGGAAGGGAGGTGCTGGATGTCGCCTAGAGTCAAAAGGAAGGCGAAACAAGGTAAGGATGCACGAGGAGGCAGACAACCCCACGCCTAGAATAATGCCTCGCGGTCACATAACCACTCTCAGTGCAAAATACCACGCGTACGGGGAGCTCGGCTGGACAGGTCGCCGGACAGATCTGTTGCTCGAAAAAATTTGCTGTTTCTGGTGGAGGATTGGTATGCAGCACCTCGGAGTTTGCGTATGGATGTAACGCAGCAAAAGGCAGCGAATGCAAAACTCAGTTGTAAGAAAACTTGTGCGTTTTACACCTTCACGAAGGGAACGTAAGACTGGCATGATTGGCAACCTCTCTTCGAGCTGAATTTCGCTCACGAAACTTCGCTGCTGTGGCCAGCGCTGATACTCTTAAATGCCCTCCTGTCATTGGGCCTGTGCCGGAGTCTCTAGAAGTCTTCCGAAAGCACACAGGGGACACTTGAAATTAAAATGTTTCGGTTCAATTTCAACACCAGTGCTGCCAGGATTGGCCACTTGTTGGGTGGACGACCTGTCCTGCCAGCTCTGACAAATTGGTACCAACTTCCTCTTGCAACAACCTCGCTCTGTGAACATGTCCGAAGGCAAGCAGCAAATGGTGAGTGCTGGTGCGAGACTGGTCTCGTTTTGGCGCTCGCCAGCTTGACTCAAAAGGGCCGTTTGCAGCGCAGGGACAAGTCTCAAACTGCACTGCTCAAAGAGTGCACACATTTTATACACGCACCTATTCAAGCACTGTATCACACCGATGGCTGTCTTGGTGTTAGAAAAAGACAATAAAGCTGTGAGATTTAGGATCGACGCATATCGACGCGCAGTTGTCCGTTTTGGGATCCTCATCAGTGGGATTCTTTTTCTGTTTTGGAGTTGCGTAGCTCGTTTCTTCACGATACTATCGATTGGCTGCTTAACGTCCAGCTCATTCGTCTGCATGACGTGAACCAGCTTGATTGGCTCCATCACCTTAGTGAGTGGATCGGCCGCCATAACGCCCGTATCTATCCAACGGATCATCTCCGTAACATCTTTGTCGTCTCGACGGTCGTCCTCTTCGTGCGGATCACCAGCCTTTTCACCGTTTTTTCTCCAGATGTCTTGTCTCAAGGACGCTATCTCAATGGAGAAACGCGTGTCCGAGTGTTTAGAACACTTCGAATTTTTCAACATCTGGACTTGCAGATCGAAAACCAAATCTGCTTCATGAACATCGCCACGGAGGCTTCCCATCTCGTGAGGTCCAGTACCCCAAACAGGTCAGCTACTGCTGCGCGCACTATGTCTGCATCCTCCACACCCGCCCGTAAGGTGTAAGTTTCCGCCTGGATGGTGGTTCTGCACACCCTTCGAACTATGTTCGAAACTATGGGATGTGTATACACTACCCGTATTCCTTATTTGCACACCGGAATCCAATATAGCTTCCGTATAAGTTATCTGAAAAAACATCTTCCAAATGTAAAGCACTCGGACAGTGGTTGTTTTCCACATGGGATGCTACACTCCATGCAGTCTGCTTTCAGACGGCTAAGGGGTAGGCTCAAAACTTCTGGGGCGGGAGGGCGGGCAAAGTTTTTCTCGTGCCCCCCTTGAAAATTAATGTTGCCCAACTATAATGTCAACAAAATCTCATGCCCGGAAACCTTGACATGTTGTGATTCCAAATTTCAGATCAAAAATAATAGAACATGCAATTTGTGCAAAACTGAGTAAGGAGTTCATCCTTTCTGCCGCAGGAGGTTTCACGGAGTAAACTCTTATTCCTTGTTTTCACATCCGAATCCAATATAACTTCCATATAAGTTCTCTGAAAAAACATGTTCCAAATCTCGAAAACTCGCACTCGGACAACGGCTGTTTTCCACATGGGATGCTACACTCAATGCCGTCTGCTTTCAGCCCGATCAATCACGGCATGAATTTGGTTACAAAGCACGGCACGCTTTGCAGCAGCCTTGTTAAGAAAAGGCCCAAACCCAAGCTTTGAAGGATTATCTTTTCATTCAATCGCCGCACGAAGGGTCTCGTGTCTAGCGAGCGGTTCCTTTCAGGAACATGTGCGCCAGGAGAGAGTGTGGTGCCGAAGCACTGCACACTTCTTCGAGTAAAGTACAGAGCACCGTAGCGCCGCTATGTTGCACGCAGTTGGAACTCGAAAGAACCATGTCTTCAGCTCACGTGAAGTTTCAAGCAAAAGGAAAGCTTCAATCACACGATCACACACGGCACCCCCTCCGGAAGTTCGAATCATCGAGTGTCTGGTGCCGTCGTTATCGAGGTAGAAAACAGCTTGCGATCCCTTCAAGTGCATGGCCCATACTTTGAGGCTTGTCAAGAGAGGAGTCAATTCCAGTTCAAAGATTGGATTCTCGCTGAGGCCCAGCCATTGCTCCGTCAGCGAAGCTGGCACTGCTTCACCGAAGAACTCACATGCGGTACCAGAAGCATTGACAAGAACACACCTCCTACACCACCTGTGCCTTCTTCGGGATTGCAAGCGCCATCAGTGAAAACAATCAAGGTCGAGATAAGACTTGTTTCAATGGTCAACGGTGCACTCTCGCAAACTCGAGCATTCAACCACTCGAGAGCCCACCTGAGATCGGCAGAAAGAGCAGTGCTGCCTTCACAAAGGACGTCATTGATATACCTGTGCAACTCCTTCTTCCTTTTCTGAGCCTGACCCACCTTTCGGACTTTAGGACTTTCTCCCTAGTGCGGGACAGGTCGACACTTAAACCCAGCATCTGAAAAATACTGGAGAAAGGCGAGGCCTTGGAGCCCTCCTTAGAAAACTTGAAACCCAAGAGGTTACACAAGGTCTCAACAGCCCACTGAGCATTCGCACGACATGACATTGTAGTCATCGAAGAAAGCCGACCAAAAGAAACGGAACAAACCCATAAGGAACCCAGGTCCGAGGCGAGATGGGCCTTGAAAATCGCCCCGTCAGCGGCAGAAGCAAAAGTCATCAGACACCGGCTCATCCAACATCGCTGTCCAGCGAGAGAGGGGCCCCTAATCGACTGAGGCAAAGGTCTGAGCTGGGCGGCCCCTGGGCGGCCATCCTGAAGGTAAAGGGCGGCAACAAGAATCGGCTCGGTGCCATGGCCCGTGCCAACATCAATCAGCGCCGCCGCATGGCGAGAACTGCCCTCCTGCTCACTAAGAATGGCTCAACAGAGCAACCCGGCACTTCCCATCCTCAGGAATGCTCAGGCACGCACGCCAGCAGAAACACGGCGACAGCGAGCGGCTGAGGATGAACTTGGCCTCGTCGAACATATCAATTGCCTCTTGCCGGGCCTCGCCGCCGACCTTGCACCTAACGAAGAGCGGCCACGGTGCGCCCCGAGAATCTTGAGACGATTGCGGGCTCGCCAGATCCCGAGGTTAAGGGGGCAGCTTAGGGCACTTGGCTTTGATGTGCAGCTCGGCATCGGCATTGGTGCGAATCGGAGCATGGCATGTGCGGCACACCCAACAGGCACGAAAAGCGATCGGAGAGTGCTTGAGCTTGGCTCGCTTGGGGCCGACCCAGTACGGCCACCGAAAGAACTCGAATTGTTCCAACAAGTGAGGCCTGTCCGCATGAAGTCTGCTGACCGTGGCGGCTTGCTTCGTCGTGGTGGTTTTTTTCGAGAGCGGAACGCATTCCACTTCTCTGACCGAGGTATGGTTTAAGGCATCAAAGATCTTCCAGGTGTTCCTGAATCGTCAACACACCATCACCTCCGAATGAAAAATTGAGGTTTATTAAGAGCTTCACAGGGCAGAGTCATGAAAATATGTAAGCCTGCAAGATCAGAATCTCATGGGCTCGATTTCACTACGTAAGGAAAGTAAAAGGCTCTGTTTCTGAATTTGGGGTTCGGGTGCGTTTCATAAAAGCCTCGTTAAAGCTTTACCCGGCCTTTATATGTCTTGTAAGGGCTGAGTGAATAAAGCCTCAATGCACCCTTCAAGGGGCTTAATGAAAAATCTACTACAGGCTTTATTAAGCCTTGCGAACGATTCGCGCGCTTTGTCGCTTTTTTTGAAGCTCGCTGTGGCAGCTTAGTTTCTCTGTAAGTGCAACATACCTAGAGTTGGATCCGAATGCAACATGGTGGTCATTCCATACTTACGGATCGTGTCGAGCTGTTTCCACTTCAATCCAATACGGGCATTTTTCCCTCATGCGCCTGCCCTGGATCAGGATTCTATACTTTGTAAGCCGAGCAAAAAACTGTGTTCTGTCTGGATCGTCTGGTTTGGGTGCGAAAACATACCCTGCCCAAAACCTCCTTGTTTTAAGACTATACTATATACAGGCCTTGTATTGGCTCCATGAGGGCTTGATAGGGTGTTGTCATACAGAAACAAAACCACCGACAAAAAATGAGAGGATCGATCTCTCAGAGTTAAGGTTCAATTTCTTAGTGTTGGCGGTTCCCCATGTGGTTTAATATGGTTCAATGAACGTTTCATTTAACAACGGCCTTGAACTTAACAATGTTTTGTCATAGAAAACCAGACATCAACAAGGTAGAGAGGCTCGACTTCTCGATTTTTGAATTGAAGAAACCGATCACCTCAATTTCTTGCTGTTGGTATCCGGGCGTGCTAGAACCCTGAACACGGGCTCTATAAACCCTACCAGGAGTTGAGCAAGGCCTCATGAGGCCGTGCCTGAATGGTCAAGCGCATAACTTGGCTCGCGAAAACCACGGTTTCAATTCCCTCAGCTGTGTTGCCCTGTTTGTTCTGGTTGGCTGATCTTGGAGCCCTTTCAAGAAACTTGCTCGAAAACAAAAATAGCATGCGCTGCAGAACGTACGCTGACCTGAAAATAGTTGCTTCTTTCACGATGCTGTCGCTGTATGTCAAATCAAGCTACAAAAACTAGGTCTGCGCATATTGACCATGTACATACGTATACACGTGTATCTATATATAATATAATATACATTTTATAGATACATACATACATACATACATATATACACGTATGCCATTGTATGATAAACTTGCGTGTTCACTTTTGTGTGGTGGGACCCGCCCCGATGATCGTTTCAAGGGTCATCCTCGTGGGCTCGCTTTGCAACCCCTCCGTTGTTGTTTCTTTTCCTTCTCTACTCTTCCTTCTGCGGCCTCCAATACACTACGCATTCACATCAGCAACTCTCCGCGAACGTTGCAAGCAAGAAAAATTCTCATAATCCACACATGTTCCTCTGTTCAGTTTTCTGTTCTTTGCAACATTGTCGAAGATCCCACAGAAAGCTGTCCAGGGAATCTTCATTGTTCGGCGTTAAGGAAATTCAGTTTTGGCAACCCACTGGTTTACAACGAAAGCTGTGGGATAGAGCGAAAAATCAACTTACAATGTGCAAAAATGGAATCCACTTCGAGATGTCATGAGGCACAGCATGGCGCCGAGATTGCGATGCCACACGATGCAGTTTTGTACACATCTTTTCAAGTTTAATGTCTGCGTTGCAGCTCCAAACAGAGAAGCTGCTGCGGGCCAGCGGATGAAAGATGTATCGGCCGTGGACGAGGGCTCTTCAAAACGAGTTAGTGGAACACATCATCTGCTTCATGCGCCCTGACCAGATCGGACAAGCTTGGTGGGCCGATGCCGCGAGCAACCTGAACCCAATCCTACAATTCCTCAGTCCTAAATCCTCGGAACCATTCGAGCTCCCAGCACTTCGTTTAGACAGAAGAGATCAGAAAAGCAATCAGGTCGGAAGCTGCACTGGCGGATATCGCGCGCAACCAGAAGCCAACCCTGAACCCGTTAGTCTTACAAGCTTAAACCCTAAATTGCTCCTCGGGAAAAGCAATCAAGTCGGAAGCCGCACTGGCGGATCGCACGTGCAACCAGAACCCAACCCTACACACGCTAGTCCTAGAACCTTAAACTTAAACCCTAAATTGCTCCTCGCATTCAGACAGAACAGAGCAGAACAGCAATCGAGTCGGAAACTTCGTTGTCGGACCTCACCTGCAACTGAAACTCAACCTGGAACCCTCGATCCTGAAGCCGAGAACCCTGGGGAAGAAGCCGCTCACGCGTATTTGGGCGTCCAGCATTCCGCGTAGACAAAAAAGATCTGCCGAGTTTTCCGCTAGGCATACACAACGAAGAAGCAAGGCTAGCCAAGCCAAGCCAAGCCAAGCTGCTTCAGGTGGTGGGCAGAAGCACAATCCGCTGTACATAGACCCCTCCGAATTTTTCCTGCGACCGCGGGAGCCAAGTACAGAGGCAATTGCGTGCTCAGATTCCTTGGGGGGTGGGCTCAGAGGGTTGGCGAGTGACACAGCAACATACGGCGAGCCATATCGTCCGGAACGGCGAGGTGCTTGCCGGATTGCTCCGAATCGATACGGTTCAGGGTCGTCTTGGCCAACATCGTTTAACACATTAGAAACAGCCCTGTTCTGTCGTGCAGAACGACAGCATAGTGTAGCCACGGCTACAATGATAGACAAGGTGTTGCTCAAGATGAGCCGGAAGATATGTGCTGCCACGGAACATGAGGAAAAGAACATAAAAGAACACATGGGGAAAGGTACTTGTCAAGGCCTCTGTCGGAAGTGTGCTCCGGGAAGAAATTCACGCAAAATCCCGAACTGAAAAAAACCATGTGCTTCACATGTTGCCGTTGGAAAGGACCTCAACGAGGTTTGGAAGGCGCAGCTGCTGATGCATGCGCGTCAGAAAGTTGGCCAGGAAGTGAGCAAAAAGCAACACGGCTTCAGCTGAGCACTGGCGTTGTGAATTGGCAAGTACAACAGATCAGCCGTTGCATTTCAACTGCGCAGTCTTCAACAGTGAGACTTCAGTTACTGCAGTGTTTGGAGAGCCGTGCGAAGATCTGAGCATTGGTTGTCAATTACGTTGCAACGAATTCATGCAACGCCTTCTCCTCTCAGAACTGTCCGGAACCGTACCTGCACGAAAGTGCTCCCGTACTGCTGGGAACATCACGCTGGCAGGCCATGGCAGGCCGCCCCCCCCTTTCACTGAGGAAGTGGCTGGCCGGAGACTGGGCTGCCACCAGGGGGCGCTCCAGGGGAGGACTCACGAGGAGCGAAGCGAAGCGAAGCGAAATCTCAAACCCATTCCGTCACAGCCTGCAGCTTCTGCATCTCCGCTGCAAACTTCATCTGAGCCTGCGCAGAGCCGCAGCGGCAGCGAACGCCAGGCCGGACAGCTCTCACGGCTTGTGCTCTGAAGCTTGGGCTGTAAGGGTCTAAAGTCGAGAGTTTTGTGCGGATCTTGAGTTCGCTGTGCACCTGCAACTCCAAGCTTTCATGCCTCCAGCTCTGAGGTCCGACGGTTCTGCAGCTCCAGTGCCGTGAAGGCTTCCAGCTGATCTGTTCAGCACTTCAGCGCCGGAAAATCTTGATATGGCATGCATATGTGTGTGTGTGTGTGTAAATATATATATATATATATATATAGGCATATCTTGGTACCCTGCACATGCAAAATTCGTCTCGTACTGCTGATGGCAGCTCGCGCTTGCCCATTTCGAGCTTGCCAAGTGACCATGCTAGTTGCAACCGGGCCCACACGGAGCTCAATCTTAGTTTGGAGTCGGAATGCCAAACCAGGCTCCATGTTGCAGTAACAAACGGCGGTGTCCTCAATATGCTCGCGCTGTAGTTGCTGCTGCTTGGCAAGCATTTCTTCTTGCGACCTGGGGGCGGGCAAGCTTGAGTCTCAGTGAGAGTCAAACTCTGGGTCTTGAAGTCTTGAACCTTTTCTGTTGGTACTCCATCACAAGCTGCATGGCCTGCAGCAGAGATGCTTTGTGGCTGGCATGACACCTGCTGTCATACTATCGTCGCGAACCCAGTGCACCCGCATCAGATTGCCTGCGTCTCCAGCGCCGCTTTCTGCTGCGACGAAGCCTGTTGCACCTGGACTGAGCTGGTGAACTGTCAGCCGCGCTAACGTTGGCACTACACTGGTGGTTTCCACGGTCCACTGCGGACTTGAATTGCAAACGAATAATTTCGCAGTCGCAGCTTGGATCACCGAGCAGACAAGAAACTCGCTTCAAACACAACACTGCGAACCTGCATCAAAGACTGGTTGTACTGCTGCAAAAGTTGCATTTCCTGCTGCTGCACCTGCATCTCGGTGGCCACACAGAGCTGTTAAAAAGACATCTGTATGATGACATCCCCTGCAATTGCTGCGAGCCTGCTGCTTGATCTGCATGTCAACCTGCTGCTTTTGCTGCTGCGCCTCCGCATTCTAGAACTGAAGCCACAAAATTCCTCGG